ATGAGCTTTTCTTGCTGTATCACTAAGAAAAGCATTATTGGCTACTTACTCCCCCATTTCCAGAACCACACATGACAGTTATAACTGATGTACCATATTCTTGTTTTCATTTTAAGTAGTTTTACTAGTCTCTCAGCTAGAAATACTGGCTAGCCTGAATCCTCATGTAATATTAATTTACTTTACTTACAACTTCTTGCTTGCATGGTCTTTGATACCTTTCCAGAATTGTCCTATGAGTATCTGTTTACACCAAGAGTATATAAGCTGACAGTATACAAGAAAAACAGCTCGTTCCCCATGGCCAATAGCAACCTTACACAAAGCACAACAGTGCACTGCCTAGAGTTTTTGAGATTCTCAGGAACTCTACCCAGAAGTTATCCTTCAGCTGCATCCCAGGGTATCTGAAATTTCTACATAAAATCAATTAGGGCAAAGGGCCCATAACAAAATACCTGAAGATGTGAAGAGCTACATTAAAAAGTCACACACTTATCATCACATAGAACTAATTTTCTCTATGTATTTTTAACTGTCACACAGCAAAGGTCTATGGCCACGAGAGAATGTTAGGGCTACACAAATCATTCCAGGCAGGAATAAGTACAAAGCAATGAAGAGAAGCCAAAGTTTAGAACAAGGCCTGTGGAGTACCACTGCATAGAAAGCCAGATTACAGAGTATATTGAAGGTAAGGAAAAGGAGATGGTTACTCTTCTATTTATAACCCTCAGTCTTTTGCCTTATAGCTATGAAATAGTCCCTTAAAAACATAATGTAAAACGGTAAATAATCAAATTGTTCTGCTTTCCAATAAATACCTTTCCAAGATGTTTTCTCTTAATTCTTATACTTTTTTATTGTTGCTAAGAACAGTCAAAATGAAATAACATCTGTTTTACTAATTGAAGTAATTTTTCTGTTTTGAGGTAATCTAATAAATACTTCCCATTCCCACTTCTATCTTCCCTTTCATAAGGTTTAGAAAATGGATCAGGGACTTTGAACACACTTTGGCAGACTCTACAAACCTCAAAAATGGCACAGTTGACACTCAGACTCAACCTACCTTTCTAAAGTTGCATTCTGGAAGTGCAAATCAAAAGAGGTGGCAACAAATCACCACAGAAAAATCCACAAGCACAGCTTTATTTGTACACAGCAATTTGCTACACAACAAAAGTCAGATCATAGCAATAAAGATAACTGTAAGCAAATATCAGGATATGCCAAGGTAATAATGAGCTGAATGTTTCTCATTTCTGTATGTATACATAGCAAATACTATAATATATTCTTTGGAAAAGGAGAGAAGGCCAAAGTAGCACAAATATTTCCTCAAGGATAATCCTGTGTTGAAGACTTGACAACTGAAATGAAATTCTAACAATATTTTGGTGTAAATACTGGTTTAATAAACTATATATTACCTACTTTTTGTAAAAAGAAAATCACTTAATAATTTGTTTTCCACTCAGTAAATATATACTTTCCCCTTACTGAGCATGTGTATTCACATTCAAGAGGATCAAAATAGATTTTTCTCAAATAACTAATCACAAAAAATTCACGTATGACAAAATGTTGATTACAATCTTGAAGAATGCCTTTTAAGCCAACAATATAATCAACAAGAAAGTATAACAGAAATAGCATCAGTGTGCCCACCTTATAATCAGATTCATCAATAAAAGTTTTTTCTATAAACAAAATCCCTTATTTAAGATTTACATCAGAATCCCTATCAAAACAAATGCAAGATTAACTTTTCATCTTTTGAGTCTATTACGCACATTTCCATTTCACTTGTGTAAAAATATGTAGATCAAATTTCTGGAATTATTGAGAACTGTGTACTTCTAATGAAAAATCATAACAACATAGCATGGGGGAAAAGGTAAAATAGCTATGGAATGGTTAAATAGATTCTACCATATTAACTGGCAAAGACACCAAGGCAGAATTATGAACAATTATTTTCACATTGCTCACTTGATAACAACTTTATGTTTACATTAGGAATCCATATTTCGTGATTTAAAAAAAAAGAAATGTGACCATAAGTGTGCATGATTGTTTTTTAATTGCCCAAACATTGACTGCAATTAACCGAACTGTAAATTTACCTTAATTGTTTTGAGAATAAATAATCTTAACCTACAGAATGATGCTACACCTAAACTTTACACATTAGGGAGATCTTGGTCATTTTCTGATATTTCAGTAAAAGGTCTTCATTTTTGAAAATGTCAACAGAAATCTTTAATACAAAACAGTTCTTTGGAATGAATTTGATTTGACTGTTTACATAAGGATCCATGCCTGCAGAAAAAAAAAATCATAGTTGTGCATCTAACTGTAGTCGTATTTCGAATCATTTTTGCAAAACTATTTCCTCCTTATTTTGATGGGTCTGTGAGTCTTGCAAAGAAGCAAGAATTATTCCAATATAATCAAAACAAAAGAAGACATTTTATTTCTCTTTCTCAATAAAAAGAACACAAGTTCCCCCTTGAGTCCCCGGCCACCCATTCACCTCACACACACACACACTTCACACACACAATTACTTTAAAACTGAAAGGCACAGGATCTTTTCTGAAACCCCGGGGAGACTTATGTAGTCTTTAGGCTGCTGTGTTACTTAGCCTAAGTGCTCCTGGTGCAAATGACTTTATTGCCTTGCACTCTAGTTGCATGCTCTGGCCCCATCAGATAACATCTCTACACATAACACAACACCACAGACACACACCCCACACCACAGGCCAAGTTTCCAATTTCAGAGGCCCGTTCCGCACACAGTCCATGTTCATCTCGGTTATGTTCCGTGTCCTGACCCCACAATTAAGGGACACTACTTAATCCTGGTGGATCTGCTCTGTTGCCTCATTCTTGCAAGAGTCCTACGAAGGTTCCTCCCCCACACCACCTTGGAACGTGATGAAAACGGTGGGATCTCACGACCACAGTTTGTCCCCTTCCTCACCCCTGGCATCCCGCCTTCTCTTCACCAGCAATCAGAGAACCATCCCTGCACCGAGTGTATACATAAAATCCAAGGGTGGAGAATTAAATAGCCCGTTACAAAGGGTGCCAGGGGCATGAAGAAAATAAGCGGGATGAGGTTCCCAAGGGGAGGTGTGCAATCGAGGGGAACCCTTCAAGAGCAATGACAGGGCGACAGAAGGATGTCAGCGGTGGTGAGAGAGGTTGGAGAATGGCTTTTCACGTCGTTCTCAGGCGTTTGGGGGAATCCCGGGGCGACGGGGGCATTGATAGGGGTTCTCCGATCGTTCCCAGCCTCATGATCCCCCACGCGCCCCCTCGGCCACCTTCCCGCGGACGGCCACCCAGCCCCGCGCGGAAGGAAACGCCAGGCTCCCCCCACGCTCTCCCGCTCTCTCGCGAGTCCTGTGCAGGCCCTTCCAGTGGGAGGGGGAAGGGGCGCGGAGGGAATTGCTGCAATGGAGCACCGAGAGAACCCTGCCCCAGCGAGGTAGTCCGTGGAAAGCCACGGCCACATAAAAATGCCATATTAATTTTTTAAAAGCCATAAATCACCCCCTCTCTCTGCAAAAGAAAACCATAAACCCGATCCCATGCAAGCCTGCGAGCAGCCACCCACTTCCTATTTCTGTCATAGCAGCTACACCCTGCCAGCAACCACCCCCGGGGCGCCCCCTCCCGCCACCGCCACCGCCACCCCCGCCGCCGCCTCCCCGCGGCTCAGCCATTTGCCAACTGACGCCCCCGTCAATAAAAATGCCCCAAGTGGAGCTGAGAGGGAGGCGTGGGGGAAGGGCGCCGCGGGGGAGGGGGTTCGCGGGTTGCACAATATCCTAGAAGGTCCGTGGCTGGAGCTGGGTGAGGAGAACCCTGGGCGGGGGGGAGGGGAGGCGAGGCGAGCCGCCCGGGCGCCTGCGGCACACAGTGCACCCGAGCGACCGTGGCGCTCCGCTTACCTTTCACCACCCTGTCGGTCGTCGACAACTTGGGATCAATTGCCTTGGGCTCGGACATCTCCAGCCGCCGGGGGACAGCGACGCGCTGCTTGTCCGTCCGACTGCACACCCCCACCGGACCGGCGGGCCAGACACTCAACGCCGCCGCCGCCGCGCTGCAAACCGCTTGGCTGGAGGTCTGGGCTCTGAGCTGGCTTTAAAGTTACTGCCTTCTCCGCGCGTCCCTCCTCCGCTGCCGCCGCCTTCACTCCTCCTCCACTGCCGCCGCCAGCCCCGCCGACTCGCTCCGGGCTGCGCGTGTGTGGTGGTTATTTATTTATTTTCTGAGCACGCCTCCCGGTTCTTCTTTTATTCTTGGGGGAAGGGGGATGGGGAGGAGAAGCGCACACACGAGTACCCACCCCGGCACGGAGACCGGGCACCGCGGAATGGAGACCCACGCGCGCACACGGCCGGGATTAAGACCGATCACATGGGGAGGGCCGGGGGCGAGGGAGAAGAGGCAGGGCCGCGGATGTCAGTGCCACCAGCAGCGCCTCGGCGTCCCCGGTGGCGTTGAGACGGCCGCTGCTGCTGCTGCTGCTGCTGTTGCCGCCGCCGCCGCTGCTTCCCCACACCGAGCGCCGCCGATGCAGCCGCCGGTGCCGCGGCCGCGGTAGACGTCCCGCTGCCGCGCTCGCCCGCGCTCGCCTCTGCCTCCCGGCACCGCTCCTTCACTCACACAGGCACAGCCGCGGAGCTCGGCACACACAGTCCCGGGCACAACCTACCCTCCTCCGCCGCCTCCGCCACCGCCTCCGCCGGCCACCGCCACCGCGCCCGCCTCCGCCTCCTCCCCTTCCTCCTCCCGGCCCCCGCCTCTAGCGCCGAGGTAGCCTCCGCCTCCCCGCGGAGCCCGCCCCCGGCCTCCCGCCCCGACGTCGCAGCCCCGTGCACTCATTGGCTAGGTCGTGTGTCCCTCACTGCCAGGTGGCGGCCTCCGAATTCGTCCCGCCCCCCGTTCCTCCTTGCTGTCCCCGCCCCTCGCTCTGTTTTCCACCAGCTGCCAGTCCAGCGGGCCTGCCGCCTCCACCGCCCAGTCCTTGCTCAGGTGTCACTGTTGCTGGCAGGCCAGGATTAGGAAAGGAGAATGGGCAGGGGGTGGTGGCTGGGAGGAGATGGGCTCTACCATGCCACCCCCACCCTCACTTGGCTTCCTACCCTGGAATCCGCATACACCCCCGCGCCTCCTTGGCACCCGCGCCTTGGAGACTGGGTTAAGCTGCAGTGTGAGTAGCCAAGAACGGACGGTGTCTCCGGGTGTGTGCGTGGCCTGTGAGAGGGCACGGAGAAGGCGGGGAGAGGAGTGAAGCGGGTGGGGGCAACCGAGAGAGGGCGGAGGAAGGAAGAGCGCGAGGAGCTTGGGGCCCACGGCGCAGCTGCTGTCGCTGCCGCAGCTGTCCAGGGAGAATCGCCGAAACTACGACAAATAAACAACTTACCTTGCGGAGATGGGCTCCGCCTGTGATGGGGTGTACGGTTGTATTTTCTAGTGGGCTTTTGTGTTGGCGGTATGGTGGCTGTTACTGTTTCCCACCCATGCATGCACACCTTAAGAGGAAGGGTCCCCTGTCAAAAGTCGCGGATCAGGGACCTGGCTGAGTGTGTCTGGCGCTGCGGGACACAGGACCGGGCTTTCCTGGGAGGGTGGGGACAGGAGTCCACCCGACCCCGGGCGATTCAGCCATCCTAGGCTGCCCTGTTGCACTCTATGGAGAAATGTGGGAGCGGGAGAAACGTGGAAGTCGCCTTTTGACTGTTCACACAAGGACACTCAGCCACTGTTTGGGACAGGCGACACCAAATCTGCCTGTCATCCACTTGGTACTCTGGATATCCGCAGGACCTTGGAGCTGTAGGCAGTTGCCCGCCGTGGTATCTCAGGTTGGAAGGAAAGTTAAGGCAAGAATGCTAGACGCTGGGGGGCAGAGTGTTAGTAGCAGAAATACTCCTTTCAGACCAGAGGAATCTTAGAAGTGGTTCTCCCTCTGCCAGGTGTCATCTCAGCCTCTCCTGGATCAACCTCAGCTCCAAGGACCCTCAAGAAAGTTGGAATTCTGGAGGGAATTATGAAGAAAGTTAAACAAATTTTTCACCCTCAGTCCTTCCTATTTTATTTGCAAATTCCAAATGGGTTTTTCCTATTTCCTGAATTGAACTACAGACCCAATAAATGGCCTAGAAAAGGGTTTAGGAAGGCAGGAGATGGAGCCAGCAGAACTGTTTTGACGACAGGGATTAGATTAAGCTCAAACTTGAAAACTAAGTTTTAATAACTTATTTTTCGGGCTGGTGGTGCTGGAACACAAGGGGTAGTGTGAACTGCAAGAAATAGGAACACACACTAGAAAGTAGCCTCTGGGGAGGCCTCCAAGGTAAGGGACAGGATATGGGGTGTGTCCCACCAGCAAAGAGAGGATGCCATGGGCCCAAAGGGTGAGATTCTGCTGGCCAGTTTACAACCCCAGAATAGGATGTGGTAATTAGGCAGACAATTTATTCAATAATTATGTATTGTGCTCCTTTTATTCATATGCCAGACACTGTGGTAGGTAATTTATGAGCCTGCATATAGGGGTGTGGTGCTCTAAAAATGGTCTTCTCTGTCAGTAAAGCCTAGAGTCTGGCATAGCTTTCAGAAAACAAAAAATCATGTGCTCCTAGAGGTCACCATAATCTCCTCCAAAAGGGTTTGTTGCAAACAGCCTCCTGGACACAAGCAGAGTTAGTTGCTGAGGCAGATTTGGGAAGTTGGTCCCAGGCCAGATGGCACACAGAGAGGGAAGGATGCCAAGACCTGTGGGTGAAGAGGGCCTGCTTCAGGAAAGACCAGGAAACCATGTCCAGGGATGCTCACTTCCAAGGGCAAAACATTCTCACACACATGTGGCAAACAGATATAGTTCCCACTGTTATTTGGACTAACTTTCTCCAAATATAGGAAAATGCCATTGAACCAACATCAGAAGGCTTAGAATGTCAGCAGCATAGAGAAGTTTTATGATAGAGATAGGAAATAAAGGCACACCTTTCAGTCACACCCTTCAGTCCGCTACAGGTCTAGGACACCTCCTAGCTGAGGTATGTGTGGGAAAAAAAAAGTTATGAATCATAATTACTTCACAACATATCTTATTATCATCAGGCATTTTTAAAGCATGTGTATAGTTCTACAACTGTTGCAACATAGACACTTCTTAAACAAATTGGACCCTGCTCCAAAGAAAACTAACAGCAGGTTAAAAACTGGGGACTAGTTAATATCCATAAACTTGGCTTACTGAACCTGATAGCCAAATTATCTTTTTTACTCAGATATTCATTTAGACATCCAACTGTCTGCAACTGCCATTCTTTCTTTTTTTTTTTTTAATCCTGTTAGACTGTCCGAGCTATTCTTGATTATATTACCACTTCATAGAATTACCTTTGGAATTTACATTTTCAAAAAGTTATTTCAATTTCCATGAGCTGACTTTGGAAATGTCCTCTGCTTGTGAAGAAAAAATTAAGAAAATAAAAAGTTAGCCCCCCCCCCCAAAAAAAATGCACTTTCCTTTCCATAATCTATCTCTCTAGCATCTGCCCAGCTAGGGAGTCCATTTCCCAGCCTGACCCTGGATCCAGGCTAAAGTGTTCTGTCACTTGCTAGCCAAGGTAGTTAAGGAGCAGATACACATTCTCCAGTCTATCAGCTCCCATCCTTTAGTTGCATACAGAGGCTTCTAAGACTCAGGGACCCACAGAACATCATGTGGCTAGAGCTAATTCTTCAACTAAAGGAATGCTGTCGCCTATGAAGAAAATCTGCATTATACTTTACCTTATAAAGAAATAATCTTCTGTTGGGTTATTCCACTAGTTGAAGATATGTTTGTTAGGGTAGGTAGTAGTACTATATCAACATACAAAACTCATTTATTTTATTAATTGAAAGAATAAAATCCTTAGTTAAATCCCAAAGGCTTGTGTAACTGTTATATAAGAGAACAACCCGAAGACTAAAAATATTCCCTCTTTTAATACATGAACATCAAATCTTAATTTTCTGTGAATGAATTATTCATTTACCAGTTGTGTTTTGAACACCTGTTCTGTACAAGGTATGATGTTAGATGATGCATAAAAGTATAGAATGAAGAATGATTCAACGATTTTGTTTCTCCACTCAAGGATCTCAAAGTCTTACTTTATAACTGTTACATACATATTATCTTTACAAACAATTAAGCATAAGAAGCTGCTTTCTCTTACTATTGGAGAAAACAAACTAGTTTGCTATTAGTTTCATCAAAAATAATAATAAAGATAAATATGAGGGAAAGTAATGTGTACTTGGAATCATGTGCATTTAAATGCTTTATACAGTTTGGATGCAAATTATAGGAAATGAAAAATATTTTGTTTTGCTTACTAAGTGATTTGCTATATCCAGAGAAAAAAAAGAAAGAAGAAAAGAGGAAAAAACGACATTGTTTTTTATATCTTATTTTGAGAATAACTTTTAAAATATTGGACTTTGATTCTGGGGTGGATTTACTATCATTTGGATATTAGACTTGAATAATAATTTCTGGACATAGCTCTTCTGAGTTAGATATCAGTATGTTCTATCTACATTCTCACTTAAGATGGTGGGATACAAAGTTGAAGGATCTGTAAATAGACAGTCAGGCCTGGAAAGACCATGAATGTGTGTGAATTTGATGTATGTTCTTAAATCAAGTTCCCACACCATTCCCTTCTATTTGTATGGAGTTCTTTCTTGTTTACTATAGAGGCTCTATGAAATACATTAGTCTACATGGATTTTATTTGAGGTTCAAACTGAAAGGGCTTTATGTTGTTGATCTTTTGGATTTGTCTTGAAATTTTCTTGAGCCTTGGTTTTGTCAGGAGGTAGTTTAATTCATTTAGACAATTCTGAACATTGAGCATTTTTATAGCAAGTATATATAGGAATACATATAATTTTTCCACTACGGATTAAATGAAAATCTTTGAACTTGTATACCAAGTTCAATATGGAGAAATATTTTACATAAAATTTGGCAAGAATATTTGATCAATGTTCATTTGGATTTAATAACCAAATATTCATTTTATTTATATTTGTATCCTCATTTCATATCCAAGTTCTTGGCACAATGTAGGTGCTCAACAAATTTTGTTGAATGAGTGTTGGTATTCACAGTATGAGATAGATGTTAGGCTAAGTACCAGGGTCTCTATTCTCAAGGAGATATAGTATGACTAAAACTCACAAACACACATATGAGAGAGAAATGTCATTAACTCTTTCTCCTAGACAGTTTTAACTTTAATTTAATTCCAGACTTTGAAATTATGAATAGATTGTGCCAAGTCATAAATGTTTCCATTAAGAAGAGCTATACATTTGCCATTCTATTTTAAAAATCCAAGAAACAAATGTGCTATAAAATTGTATGTATTTTGGCTTTTCTAAACTCAAAAAAATCAGAATATTTGACCTAAAATGAGCTGAAATTTACATTTGAAGTGCTTTGAGAACACTTCAATAATAATAGCAAAGAACTCACTAATCAAACTACAACAACATTTTTGGAGACTTGATAGATCAATTTAGAAGAACTTTTTCTGGTCCTTTCAAGGCAGATTTACATATGCAAAACCAGTAAATAATTAGAAATTAGTTTTATCCTTTAAAGCAGGCAGAGATTTACCCTTACTAGAACAAAAGTTTGCCCATTACTGATTAAAAGTTCATGAATTTGCAAGTAAATATTCTATTCTTAATTTGAATTTGGCACTCAGACCAGCCACCTTTCCATTTACTTCTAAGTAGTAAAGTTTTATTTTGCTAATATTTAGGGCTAGTGGAAGGCATATATTCAATAGATAGTTATTGAGTATCTATACCTATCAGTCACTGTGAATGTAATATGGAAAAACCAAAGTCTCTACCCTCATAAAACTTACATTCTAGTCAAGAGAGACAGATGATAGAAGACAGCACTTGCACTACACACAGGCCATGGAAGTGGGCTGAGGGATGACCATAATCATAACACACAGTGGCTAGGGCACTGAAGGAAGTGACACAAACTGCTGTGGTGGCCATGGCATACAGAGAAGGGGTCTCTGAAAAGCTGATATTTGAACAGAGATTCTCAAGGTGATGGAGATGGCTCTGCAGCCACACAGAAGAAGTGAGTTCCAGACAAAAAGGAACTATAGATGCAAAGGC